TGGTCCTCCTCCTACCTACAATTCCTTCAAAACTTTGATCCGCACTTCTTCGATCCCGGCGGACCTGGACAATCTTTATTCGCTTCTGTGCAATGAAGAAATACACATCAACCAGGATGCGGTCAAAGATCAACTTGTCACGGCGCCGACTCTATATGCTGCCCCTAACAATCCCCCTCGCAATCGCAACTACAAATGTTCAATCAAGAACAAGAATAACAACTACTCCACCTCAGCCAGTACTCCGTCCAACAGTAACCTTTCTGCCAACGACAACACTCGTCCTGTCTGCCAAATCTGTGGCAAAACAGGACATATTGCCATCAATTGTTGGTATCGTTGCGACCTAAAGTACGCTCCTACAACAAGTCATAACCTGAGAGCCATGTTCACTCAATCATCCTCTTACCCAACACAGGACTGGATCTTGGATACGGGGGCATCGTCTCATCTGACCCCAGACAGCTCAAATCTTCAAGCTCCCTTCGCATATAACGGTCAAGATTCTATCTCCGTAGCCAATGGATCATCTGTTCCGATCCAACACTTTGGTCACAGTTTGCTTCCTCTACCCGATAATGCGCGTAAGCTACACCTACACAATCTTTTGCACGTACCTGAACTAACTCACAATCTTCTTTCTATCTCAAAATTAACTGCTGACAATTCTATATACATCACGTTTCATGCTAATGGTTTTGAAATGAAAGATTCTCAGGATCATCGTCTTCTTCTCAGTGGACGTCTTAGCAATGACCTTTACCAAATTCGCACCCCGACGACCGAAAATCAAATGGCTCTTCACACAAAGACCACATCTTTGCATTTTTGGCACGCAAGGCTCGACCACCCGAATAATCGGACTCTACATTCCATTGCTCGCTACCTACCGCTTAATATTGATAGCTCTTTTATTTCGTACTGTAATTCTTGTAATACGGCCAAGAGCCATAGAATTCCCTTTAGTAAAAGTAGCTCGGTTACTTCTGCTCCCTTCGATCTCATCCACTCGGATGTATGGGGTCCGTCTCCTTTTTCTTCTACTAACGGTTTTCGATACTACGTTGTTTTTATTGACAATTACTCCAAGCATTCCTGGCTTTACTTCATGCATAACAAAAGCGAAACGCTCTCTAAATTTAAAGCGTTTTGTGCTCCTATACAAAATCAATTCGGAAAAACACCAAAATCTTTTCAATCCGATGGTGGCGGTGAGTTTATTAACAAGTTGTTTAATTCTTTTCTGCAAGAACAGGGAATTGTACATCGTGTGAGCTGTCCGCACACTCCGGAGCAAAATGGAGTCGCCGAACGCAAGCATCAGCACATACTTGAGCTAACAAGAACCCTGCTACAAGAATCCCATACTCCAGCTAAATTCTGGAGCGAAGCTATCTCAACTGCCATACACCTAATAAACCGATTACCTTCCAAGCATACCGCTCAAAAGTCTCCGCACCAGATAATTTACAACTCCATTCCGAAATACGATCACCTTCGCATCTTCGGATGTATGTGCTACCCGTGGCTGCAACCATACTCGTCCAACAAATTCTCCCCTCGGTCAACAGCATGTGTTTTTCTTGGGTACTCGACTTCGCACAAGGGATACATTTGCTACAACTTATCTACATTCAAAATGCACATCTCGCGCCATGTGGTCTTCCATGAGGATATATTTCCGTTTCAAAAATCAAACCAGACATCCTCTTCTACAACCACTCCCTCCAACTCAACGCCACTCATTCTCGTTCCAGCATCCACGGTAAATCACAACAAACAGTCTATCAAGGCAATCTCCACATCGACTCCGCATACAGTTACTCCACCACCTATATTGTCTCCGACTGAGCTCGGTATTACAACGATTCAGCCATCGGAAGTTGCTCATCATCAAACCAGACCTGCACATGTTCCGCATCCAATGCAAATTCGATCGAAATCTGGCATACAGAAACCGAATCCCATCTACTCCTTGACTACTTCTACATTCGACGATCAGTCCCCTGTCTCCTACAAACAGGCCATCAAACACTGACATTGGCTCACTACTATGGCAGAGGAACTACATGTGTTACAACATCAACACACGTGGTCTCTTGTCTCACCACCACCCAACAAACCGGTGTTGGGTTGCAAGTGGACATTCAAGATCAAACGGCTGCCTTCCGGTCAAGTGGATAGGTATAAGGCGAGACTAGTGGCACTTGGCAACGGACAACGGTTCGGAGAAAACTACACAGAGACATTTAGTCCGGTCACAAAAATGCCGACCATTCAATTACTTCTAACGCTCGCTCTGAATCAGAAATGGAACATTCTCCAACTGGACGTCTCCAACGCTTTTCTGCATGGGGATCTAACAGAAGATATCTACATGAAACAACCACAGGGATTTATTGATCCCCAACATCCAACCGCGGTTTGCAAATTGCACAAATCACTATATGGCCTTAAACAAGCGCCAAGGCAGTGGTTCCAAAAGCTCACCGATTTTCTACAAAATCGCGTATTTTGGTTTAGCCGCTCTGATCCTTCTTTGCTTATTTATACTCACAATGATATACAAATTTACTTCCTTACATATGTTGATGATATCATACTTACAGGCAATAATCAAACGGCAATACAGTCTCTGCTAACAGATCTCAATTCCACGTTCGCCCTCAAACAACTAGGAAAAGTTAATCTCTTTCTCGGGATTCAAGTGCAGACTCATTCGCAAGGAATGTTCCTCACACAAGCCCATTACGCTGCAAACATGCTTAAATCTACAGGAATGACGGAATGCAAGAGTGCTCCTACACTGATGTCTTCTACATCCAGCTCCAAACAAAGCACGTCAGAGCCATTTTCCGACCCTTCCCTCTACCGCCGGCTGGCTAGATCGCTACAGTACTTATCAATCACTCGACCAGATATTGCGTTCGCCACAAACAAAGTTTGCCAACATATGCAAACTCCAACGATTCAACATTATAAGGAGATTAAACGCATCCTTCGCTACATCAAAGGAACTCTCTCATTCGGGTTACCTATTGTAATAGGCGATCTTCAAATACACTCCTATACTGACGCAGACTGGGCGTCCGACAACACAGACAGAAAATCGACCTCCGGTTTCTGTAATTTTATCGGACCCAATTTGATCTCTTGGACAATTAAGAAACAAGTTACTGTAGCAAAATCATCCACGGAAGCCGAGTATAGATCTCTATCGGCTGACATTTCGGAGGTCCTTTGACTAAGGCGTCTTGTTGCGGAACTTCAAATAGAGCAGAAAATTCCAACTCCGGTATACTGTGACAACATCTCAGCCACCGCCATCGCCAAAAATCCTGTCTTTCATGCTCGGACAAAGCATATCGAAATTAACTATCAATTTATCAGACAACAAATAGCATCCGACGATGTTCATTTCCAACATATACCGTCTCAACACCAGATCGCAGATATCTTAACCAAGCCACTTTCGGTATCCCGCTTCAATGAGCTAAGACACAAGTTAACCATTCAATCAAATGAATGCTTCACTTAAGGGAGGCTAACAGGGCATCTACACATATTTACTTATTTGTATAAATAATATTACGGTTTTACTCAGGTCTTAACTTCTATAAATTCATTTGTACACAGTGTTCAATGACAAGATTTTCCATTTTTTTTTTCCAAATACGAATACCTATGTGTTGCTCTCTGTGTTGTTCCAAGAAGCTCCGTTCTTCTATCAGTAATATCTTCTCAATCTTAAGCTAACACAAATGACACCATCTTTAAATAAAAACTAGAAAGTATAAAAATTAAAAATCTTGCCAATCAATGATAGTATCAGCCCATTATCTCAAAATAAATAAGTTATCAGATGTCGATATAAACTATCAAGATCAAAGGCCTGAAGGGGGGAAAAAAAAACCTAGTAACTAGAGGAGAAAAGAAGACATGAAGCCTCGTGGTAGCTTAATTTCGAATTGAGGCTACAACGACCACTGTAAGACGAAGAATGGATACGCCAAATGAGAGCGAGGGATAGGGCAAAGAGCGAAAGTTGTGAAACAGAAGAGTTGAAGATGCAAGCTTGATAATACAAATGGTGACATCCCTAAAGACTTAATAAGAAATTAAGTTGCATTCAAGTTAAACTCGGGTTACTAGGTTGGTTCGAATCTGACCCAAAACTTAAATCAGGTCATTTTCTAATCTTGAACCCGACCCGTATGATAAACCGGTCGACCCAAACCTGAAATTTTTGGGTTGGGTATGGGTTGAATTTTTGAGTCGTGTCAAATTATAAAACTCCTATTAAATAGAATATGTCCATATCATGATCAAAATTAATAAGGTCCAATTATCGAAGCTGATTAAGGACATTATTGTAGTGGGTGATAATTAATTAATGGTGGCGACAACTAGTAGAGACCAACAAACATGACAAGTGATGTCTATCGGCGAAGAAAAATATTCGGTGTATTCGAAAATTGCATAAATTTGATGATTCTGAAATACTCAAAAAATTAATTAAATTATAAAATTTAAATACATCAATAAATTACTTAAAATTTATTTAATAATCAAAGCATTCAACTAACATATCAAAATGAGTTTAATTCCTATTTATGATCACTCATATAATTTTGTATAAAGCTATTTAATATAAATTTTAAATGCCAAAAAGCGTCGGCGCAAAGCCGGCTAAAGCTAGAATATAGTTGATCTGAGGCTACGTAAGCGACCGGGGCAAGCGTAGTTGGTGGGCACGGGCTAAAGCCGGTCACTAACCCATCGGGTTCGGGTCGCTATCCACACCAACCGTCCACTACTTCACCCGTATCCGCAGATGATCCTTATCGATCGCCCTAACCGGATCCGAGATAATTGGATGTACCCGCTTCAATCGAACGGACAAGATCCACCCACCGACAAATCCGCTGTCTGGGGACGGACGGATCCGGATCCAACTCAATCGCCTTCCAATTTCAAAGCACCGAGGCGTCTATAAAAGCTCGGCCAACGAATGGGGCAAGGCGTGAAACGGGGTAAGAACTTCTCTTCTCCACTCTTCCGGAGATCTGAGCTAGGGTTTCTCGCCGCAAGTGACAATCTATCGGACTCCTTAGGTGAGTGCTGAACTCAATTGGATAGGGCTTTTTCGATAGGCTATACGGGGATTTTTCTGGTAGAATTATTGGCCTGGTCATTGTTGCTTCTATGCCTCGTCGGGGGTTGTCTTTTTCTTTCCCCTTAAGAACTTTCCTAGTGTATGTTGCTAGATCTGGATGTTCTTAATTTGTTTACGATGGGTTTTGTTGTTTGAAATTGTGAGGATCTGTCTGGTTTTTAGTTTTTGTTGCTACTTTGTGGTGACTGACAATGAAGCTCTGCTAGATCCAGAACTTTTTTGTGGATTGAGGTCATCTGAGAGATCTGTGAGATTTTTTTCTCTTTATGGTGGGAGATTAGGGATATTTCGTGTACGAGCTGATGTGCTATTTCAACTTTTGAAGATCTTTCTTGACGTGTTTCTTTTCTTTTATTAGTTACAATTTTGATGGTTAAAACCTCTCAAAGTGCAATGTGAAAGAAATTTTGTTGATGTGCAGTTTATCGTTAGCTCTTCTATATTAAAAAAAAAAAAAAAAAAAAAAAAACTGTCAAAGCTTCTGATAGTGTAAATTCACCGTCAAAATTTAATGAAATCTTTTGATAAATGCAAATTATTTATTTAATAATTATAAGTCTTCTGTTTTATATCATGAAATGACACTTAAAATACTTTCTTATTTTTCTTTATTTTGGGTGGGAAGTATCTTATATTTCTTATTAAATATCCTTGTCTTTTGATTATTTCCTGTAGTCCTAAAATTTATATAGATGCCCTTTTTCGTTTTTTTTTGGGGGCTTGAACTTCTTGTTGATTGGCTAGATATGCTCCACTTAATTAGTGTTGTCTTTGTATGATTTTATCACAAAAAATCTTAAAAGAGTTATCTGGTTTTATAAGATTCTTATTCCTGATAAGTTTGGGATTCTTTATGCTGCCTAACTTTCGTGCTTCAATTATTGGAATCTTTTTAACCCATTTGTATGTTGTTCTCTTGTAGTTGAGATGCTTTTAACATTCTTTGTAGGGTATATACCTTACCTTATTCGTAGGTAAACCAATTGATTGTTATGTAATAGATGCCATGCTAGTGATAAAGATCATGAGCAGGTCTTTATGAATCCAATTCCAAAATTTTTTTTTGACCTTTAGTAAATTACAATATGAGTATTAAACCAACTTTGATATGCATATTTACTAAAAGCCGGAATGAAAATTATTTTCTATTTAATAGAAGTTAAAATTGTTGATCTTTTTAAATAATTCATTTTTCAAAGTCAAATTAAGGCATGTAAATGAGATTTTGTTTTAATAAATATGGGAGTATTATGGATAAAGTATATGCTCTCTACTCTTAAAGTTTATACTATGAGTATTTTTTGGATGCCTAAAAAGAAATGGAAAATGAAAATATTTTTAATAATTCATACGTATATTCTATTTGGATATTATACGTGAATTTACTGATAAATTGGAGCTAAGGGTATTACCATCTCTTATGTGTAATTTTTGTGGTCTTCATAATCATTCGATGATGCCTAATTTTGGATCTCTGTAGACATGTGATGAGCACATAAATGTTTTGTAGTCCTGCAATGGTGTCCATCATTCTAACAATTGGAAAATAATTTGGTGTGTTTTATTTGATTGACTAAATCTGACGAGCCATTTTGAAAAAAAATTTCCCATTTTTAACAATTTAATATGTATGATGTATATTTTGAAAATAAAGTATTTTTTTTCCAGATTGTATCTAATTTGATTAGGGTTTTGTTCATGTGAAAATTGGATCATGATTATATTTGAACCTAATTCCTGATTCTCTTTGAAGATATATCTATAAATCACAATGGTTGAACTATAAATTGTTTGGAAGACATTATTTTTGATGCAGCTGTTTTTTTTAATAGTTTTGTTACAAATTTTAAATCATTGGTCTGCTGAACATCCATGTCTGAAATCCAATCTTGTTGATGCTGATGAGATTCTTTTGATTTTCTTGTCACGCAGATCGTTTAGCGGTGAAGATGGCTGAGTTGGACACATTCCTTTTCACCTCTGAGTCCGTCAATGAGGGACACCCAGACAAGCTCTGTGACCAGATCTCTGATGCCATCCTTGATGCTTGCCTTGAGCAGGACCCTGACAGCAAGGTCGCCTGCGAGACTTGCAGCAAGACTAACATGGTCATGATCTTCGGCGAGATCACCACCAAGGCAAATGTTGACTACGAGAAGATCGTTCGCGATACTTGCCGGGCGATCGGATTCGTGTCCGATGATGTAGGCCTGGATGCTGACAATTGCAAGGTGCTTGTAAACATTGAGCAACAATCTCCTGACATTGCTCAGGGTGTGCATGGACACTTCACCAAGCGCCCAGAAGAGATCGGTGCAGGCGACCAGGGCCACATGTTTGGCTATGCAACAGATGAGACCCCAGAATTGATGCCCTTGAGTCATGTTCTTGCCACCAAGCTCGGTGCCCGTCTCACCGAGGTCCGCAAGAACGGCACCTGCCCCTGGCTCAGACCCGACGGCAAGACGCAAGTCACTGTTGAGTACAGAAACGACGGCGGCGCCATGGTTCCTATCCGTGTTCACACCGTGCTCATCTCCACCCAGCACGATGAGACCGTCACCAATGATGAGATTGCCGCTGATCTCAAGGAGCATGTAATCAAGCCTGTGGTCCCTGAGCAGTACCTAGATGAGAAAACCATCTTCCACCTAAACCCATCAGGCCGCTTCGTCATTGGTGGCCCTCACGGTGATGCTGGCCTCACCGGCCGCAAGATCATCATCGACACCTACGGTGGCTGGGGTGCCCATGGCGGCGGTGCCTTCTCTGGCAAGGATCCGACGAAGGTCGACAGGAGCGGTGCATACATCGTAAGGCAGGCTGCAAAGAGCGTCGTGGCCAATGGTCTTGCTCGCCGCTGCATTGTTCAGGTCTCCTATGCCATTGGTGTTCCCGAACCGCTCTCTGTGTTCGTTGACACATACGGCACAGGCAAGATCCCAGATAAGGAGATCCTGAATATTGTCAAGGAGAATTTCGACTTCAGGCCTGGGATGATCACCATCAACCTTGACCTGAAGAGGGGAGGCAACCGGTTTATCAAGACGGCTGCGTATGGCCACTTTGGAAGAGATGACCCTGATTTCACCTGGGAGGTGGTGAAGCCTCTCAAGTGGGAGAAACCAGCGGCCTAAGAAAGATTTAGACATCCCTGAACTATTCAGTTCCGTTAACTACAATATATTTGAGTGCTCTAGCCGCTGCTGCCATTGTGCTGAAGCTTCTTCCTCTCTCTCTCTCTCTCTATCCTGCTGGGTGATATTAGTGTTTTCTTTTTAATTGTTTGTTGCTGGACGTTAAGTGAAGTTTGTGCTGGAAAAATATATGGATTCTTTTCAGTTCGCAGAACAGATTAACTGAAGATGAAAGTCAGTGTGGTATTTTGTTCGGTTACTTTTTATATGCAGCCTACATGTACTTAAATGTTTTATCATAAAGTAATAGAACTGCCAGTTTCATATCTCCCTGTGATTTGTTCACTTTTGTTTCATAATTTACTGAACTGATATTTATGCTCTTGGCTAAGCTTTACTGAGTGATGGGCAATGCTTACCCTTCTTTTCTAATCTTTCGCTAAATGGTCGCTCTTCTTTAACTGTTTGGGAGAATGCTCTGGTTTAGGTTGATATTGTTATATGGTGCGTGGCAGTGATAAAATCCTGTGGATTAGTAAAAACCTTTTAAGCTTTACCTTGGCAAAGCATGCACGCTCTCAGCCAATTTACCTAAGGTGAACTGGTACCCCAAGCCGGGTAGGGTATGAGTTAGGGCAAATTATTACGTCCGGCGTCCAAATCGTCCGGATTATTACGTGGCACATCCGGATTCGCCTCTGGACAAATCTGGAGGGGGGACTTAATAATTTTCCCTGATTTAGGTTGTGTTTGGAAGGCTTTCTTGCCGTTTTCTAAAGTAAATTTTTAGTATTAAAATTTATGTTCAAAAGCTGCTTTAAAAAGAAGCAAAAAAAGTCATCCCAAATGAAGCCTATCCTCTCAATTGGCCACTTTATAATTGAATAACTAGTTACTTATCTGAGGTAACCTGTTGCAAATGCTGCAACAAACTTTGAATCATCCTCAACAAATGACAAAGACTGCATCTTCTTATGGTTTCTGCTCTGGTGTACATTTTATGGCTGGAATGCAATGACAGGCTTCATAGCATGGAGAGTTACAGAATTTTGCCCACTTGACATTGAAAACTTGTTTGTCGATAAGATGAGTAAATGGAAAAGAAAGGACCATAGGCATGCCAAGTTTGCCAGCTATTTGATAGTTGGAGAGTTTAATAAATTGAAAACTCGGTTCTGCTCTTATTTTGATGGATTATTTTCTCTTTGAAGTTACTGATGAGTGATTACTCTCTTGGTGTTTTAGTTTTCGTTCGGGACGACTTTTTTACTGCTTCTTAAAGCAGCTCTTTAGTAAAAAAAAGAATAATTAAAAAAGCTGTCCCAAACAAGCCATTAAAGTCTAACTAACTGTCGTAAGATCTGTATGTACTTTTGGATCCATTAGATCTATTATTCAAGCCTATCCTAGATTCTTCATGAGGACCCTCTTCTCCTGCATAATTTTGCTAGTTTTTCTGTACATTGTACTGTGGTGTTTCATTGAATCAAAATCTTCTCAATCTGTTTGTTTCAGCTATTACACATTCCCATAATCTGTGCCCATCTTTTCTCTTCCTATTTAGAAAAAAATTGAGGATCCAACAACATTAGTTTCTATGAGATTGCATCAGGATATCCTAACAGAATTATTATCACTACGAGCTTCATTGCTCTTGAATTCATATTAAGATTAATACAGATCTTCACTATCCTATATAGTTTCAGTTTCAGTGCAAATACAAAACCAATGAGATAATTTTTTTTTTCTTAAAGCTCTGCCCCACCGTTCTAGTTTTGCAAGAACACAGCTTGTAGTCGCAGGCTTCCAGGATGTGCAACCTCACTTCTTACCTGTCTTATTTTGTCTTCTTTATGCAATTTGCTTCCTTATCTCTTCTACTTAGGTGATGAAAGTAATGCTTATGGTTCACAAAATAAAAATATACGTTTATTATATTTATTTATATAATATTTTTAAAAATATATTGATTAGAATGAGAAAATAATAATAAAAAAGTATAAATTCTCTCGAGAAATTATTCCATGCGGAGTCCGGACGGTAAAGAACAGTCCGGACGCGAACACAGTATTTCTACATACTGTGTATATAAAAGAAATCAAATTGTGTACAAAATTATACGCAGTGTGTGCATTGTGCACACACACATATAGATGATTCTTTACCATCCGGACTTCGCACGGAATAATTTCTCCCATTCATCATCGTTTCACTTTCTTAGATAAGCTCATAGATCCAATAACACATTTTCTGATTTGAATCTTGAAGTAAATCTTAATGAACAAATTTTAAGAAGAAGCATGACCAAAAAAAGTTTAAATTATGTGAAGGAGTAAAATTTTATAAAAATTAAAAAAGAAGCAGACTAGCCAAACTATTTAGCCATTGAATACCCAGATTTTCACTAAGCATCATTAGCAATGCCATTAGCTGATTAAGGACACATTAAAAAAATTTAAAACTAGGTTAACGGGTGATAAGCTCTCAGATTAACTAATCGCCAGCATTAAAATCATTTTATTATTTATTTTATTTAATATTAAAGTCACAGTTTGTTAAGCAGGTGATTAATTAATCTGAGAGCTTATCGTTCGTTAATCTAGTTTTAAAAATTTTTAATGCATCATTAATCAGCTAATGATATTGCTATGCTTAATAAAAATGGTGTATTCAGAATTAGTCAAATAGAATTATGACTTTTTTACGCTAAATAATTTGGCTAGTTTGATTCTTTTTAAATTTTTTTAAATTTTTTGCTCGACATAATTTAAACTTTCGCTGTGGTTTTTCTTAAAATTTGTTCAATCTTAACATTTATAAATAAAATTTTTTATGTTTTTCATTGAATGTTATGAGAATATTTTTTTTTTTTAATTTTTGAATAATCTACAATATTTAATGATGAGCTTTTGATGAACAACCATCCTGTAGACCCTTGTCCCCACTCAAACAAAAAGACAATTTTTTTTTTAATTCTTATTTTCTTTATTTAAAATTTATCTGATAAAATCTATATACATAAATAGCATATGCCGACACTGCATTAAATTGTTAGGAGCAATAATTTACAGGGAAAATATATGATGAGAACGACGTGCTTAAGCTGTCTTCTGCCTGCTCTGTCGGTGATCCAAAGCCATTGCCCAGCTCAGTGACAGCTGAAAGAATGGGCTGCCACTGTACCAAACACGTTAACGTTCAGAAAAAGCAAGAAGAGCAACGAACAAAATGTTCTACCGAAATTTATGAAATTATCACATGAATATATATGATTATAATTTAAAATTGTATTTTCAGAACTTTTTGTTTGAGATTATAATTTGAAATTGTATTTTAGAACCGGTTTTTATCGGTTTGATGCTAGACCGGTTTTTTAGGAGGGCCGAACCGGCCATGGGATCGGTCCATGATTGAACCGGTCGAATCGAACCGTCCGGTCCAATTTTTAAAATCATGAGAAAACGTTATTTCAGAATAAGCTGGAACAAATTATGTTAGGATTGATTTAAATACTATTGAATTTACTTTAAGATTAGTGTAGAATACAAAGAATTTATTTAGGTTCCACCAGAAATAGCTCATTCTGAGCCCAAAAAAAGTTTACAAGTCCACAAACCCAAAAATAAATTAGGCAAATAAAAGCCCAATAAGAAAGACAGCTTAAGATTTGTGTGGAGGTTTAGATTGAAGAGGCTAATGATGAGACTAAGTACCAAATGATTATGAAACAAAAAGAATTCATGCAAGATTTAGGTCAACCTTCTAAAGTCCTAATCTTTTTTTTTTCTTGTTAAAATTGATTTAGCATGAAGATATGGCTCAATTCAAATTTTTTCTTTATCTATTTTCAAAATTTTAATTATTCAACCATTTCTTAATTTCAAGTTGGATGGTTGAAGTGGAGGAATGTATTGGGCTTGTTGTGTGATGGAAAAGGCCCCGCCAAACTTAAGAGAAAATTCTGTAAGATGGTGTTGAGACCTACAATGCTTTATGGTGCCGAATATTGACCATTAAAAGAGAAGTATAATACTAAGTTAAGTGTTACAGAGATGAGGATGCTCAGATGGATGAGTGACTTTACCCTTAGAGATAAGATACGAAATGAGAATATATGTGAAAATGTTGGAGTACCTCCAGTGGAAGATAAGATTAGAGAGAGTCGTCTTAGATGGTCTGGTCACATAAAATAGCGGCCTTTTAATGACACAGTTAGGAAAGTAGAGGCATTAGATTTGACTTATCTTAAGAAATGTAGAGATAGACCTAAAAAGACTTTATTAGACAATATTAGAAATGATATTTCTTTATTAGATTTAAAGAAATATTTGATTTTTAACATGACACAATGGAGAAAAAATATTCATGTAGCCGACCCCACGCAGTAGGATAAATGCTTGATATTATTATTGTTGTTATATTATATATTTCAAATGCATTAAAATGTTGCTGGCTGTGGACGGGAACTGTGAGCAATTGCAGCGTAGGATTTAAAATTGGCTGATTTGAGCGATTTCTAAATGTGGGGAAAATAAGTTAAAACAACTAATAACTACATAAGAGATAAGTTAAAACTCACAAGAAAGAAGTCCTCAATTTTGTATAATCTACATGGAGACTGGAGAGTACAAATGCAAATGATATTCCTATTGATGACTTTTCTTGTATTTATTTTAGCATGTATGAACAAAAAATTGAAACTTTTACCTCTCTATATTGATAAGAAAAGTTTGATCAATTCTAAGAGTAAGCGAAGAATGACAAATTCAGCTTTTGTTATCATTCCTTAAGATATTTTTGAAATATCTGAAAATTTTTCATATGAATTCCACAGTCATAATGGGCATGGTCTAAAGAGTTGGTAAGTATAAACTTGAAAACATTATCTAAACTTAATGCATTATTAGCAGTAAATATTTATGTAAAGTAATTTATATCTTTCTTTATTAGATTTAAATGAGAATTTGACTTTTAACATGACACAATGATGAAAAATGATTCATATAGCCGACCCACGTAATGAGACAAAAGCTTGATGTTATTGTTGTATTTCTTAATGAGAATTCACGTGCTTAAGCTGTCTTCGCTTGCCCGTCGTGTCATGTGCTGCCCGCTTTGCATCCCCCATCTTCCCGCTCTCCTGCGCTGCCTGTAGCGTCCCGCTATCTCCCCGCTGTCCCGTGTTGGCCTCGCTAGCCTTTGTTGATGAGAACTCACCATCCGACAGTCCCATCCCACACATCCGCCATCCTGCATGACCATCTCGGGTTTACAAAACCGTGTTAGGTTAGGTCATTCTAGTAATCCGATGTGTTGGGTTCAGGTCCAA